TGAAGCACTTCAAGGTCGATGTCAAGACGATGTTGAAAACAGCTCATTTTGTTGAGGATGTCCCCAGCGAGATACAAATTGTCCGCCGTGCTCTTTTTGGGAGTCTGTCATGCTGCCGGTCATTTTCTGAGGATGTCCCGAGCGAAAACGTACCTTTCAACCTAAGAGGCAGTAACACACCTCCGCCGACATCTCACTTTGATTAGGTTGTCTCAGGTAAAACGCCAATGTTTACAGATTCGTGAATTTCGCGACGGCCAGTTTTTCGAGGAAGTCTCGAGCGAAACACTTATTGTTGTTAAACGCGATGTCGCGAAGATTCCAGTTTTGTGAGGATGTCTCAGGCGATATCGCTATTGTGAGGAACCTGACCGGACAAGAACGGGAAGCGTCGCTTTTGTCCACTAGGTATGTGAAGTATGCTCTTTTGGTGGTCTACCGCGTAAATATGTTGTGGCGTGCGTGCGTTTGCGCATGCGCGTGCGTGCGTGAAATATGTGCATGTGTGTCCGTGCGTGGTGGTCTGCGGCACTACTGTGTTATGCCGTGCTGCTCTGCCGTGCTCCTGCGGGCTGCGTGAACGTATTTTGCCTCTCTGTGTGCGTGTGTGTGTGTGTGTGCGTGTGTGTGTAGGTGTCTGTGTGTGCGTGTGCGTGTGCGTGTGCGTGTGCTTGTGTGCGTGTGCCTATGTGTGTGTGCCTGTGGGTGCGGTTGTGTGAATCGATGTTCTGTCTGTTTCGCCGTGCGCCTGCGTGTTTTGCCGTGCTCCTAAGTGTGCTGCCGTGCTCCTGTGTTGTGTGTTCTGCCGTGCTCCTGTGTGTTCTGCCGTGCTGCTGCTTGTTCTGCCGTGCTCCTCTGTGTTTTGTGTGATCTGCCGCGCTCCTGTGCGTTCTGCCATGCTCCTGTGTGTTCTGCCGTGCTCCTGTGTACTCTGTGTGTTCTGCTGTGCTCCTCGTGGTCCTGCGTGTTTTGCCGTGCTCCTATGTGTTCTGCCGTGCTCCTGCGTGTTCTGCCGTCAGTTCTGCCGTGCACCTGTGTGTTCTGCCGTGCTCCAGTGTGTTCTGCCACGCTCCTGCTTGTTCTGCCGTGCTCCCATGTGTTTTGGTGTTCTGCGGTGCTCCTGTGTGTTCTGCCATGTTCCTGCAAGTTCTGCCGCGCTCCTGCTTGTTCTGCCGTGCTTTGCCGTGCTTCTCCTGCTCCTGTGTTCGGCCGTGCTCCTGTGTGTTCTGCCGTGTTCCTGTGTGTTCTTCCGTGTTCTTGTGTGTCTGTGTGTTTTGCAGAGTTCTTGTGTGTTCTGCCGCGCTCCCATGTGTTCTGCCGTGCTCCTGTGTATTATGTGTGTTCTTCCGTGCTCCTCGTTCTCCTTTGCGTTCTGCCGTGCTCTCATGTGTTCTGCTGTGCTCCTGTTTGTTCTGCCGTGCTCCCGTGTGTTCTTTGGGTTCTGCAATTCTTCTGTGTGTTCTGCCGTGCTCCTGTGCGTTCTGCCGTGCTCTCGCGCGTTCTGCCGTGCTTCTGCGTTGTGGGCTGCCCTGATCCTGCCCATGTCCTGAAGATGTCTCACACGAAAAGCCCAGTTTCAACTTGCATGGTCTTAAATCCGCCTGTTCAACATTTCATTTGTTCGCGGATGTCTCAGGCGAAATCCCCATTTTCACACGTTTGTTAAATTCGCGGTTTTCATTTTCTGGTGGATGTCTCAGGCGACATGATTGTATTTGTGAAAGACGGTGTTGCGAGCAACTCATTTTTTGGGGATGCATCGAGCGAAAATTGTATTTTGAGGAATCTCGAGGGTGGGTCATCTTGGGGCGCGTTTGGGGTTCTTTCGGGGCCGTTTCGATACCATCAAAAACGAAGCCAGTGCGATGTCACACACATCTCTTTTTTGGGATGTCCCTAGCGAAATCCCAGGACGATGTTAGAACAGCAGTTTTCAAAACGATGTTGTTGTATGCTTTCATTTGTTTGAGGATGTCCCCAGCGAGATCGTCATTTGCGGCAGTCTTCAGGGCGCTCTTGGAGCCATTTTGGGGTCCTTTTGGGGCTCGCATTATTTCATTGTGAAGCACTTCGACAACGATGTCAAGACGATGTTGAGAACATCTCATGATGTCCCCAACGAATTGCAAATTTTCGGCCGTGCTCCGTTCTTTCTGGTCCGCCGTACTGCGGGTCATTTGTTGAGGACGTCCTTATCAAAAACGTAAGTTTCAACATAAGAGGTAGTAGTACACCTCCGTCGACATCTTATTTTGGCTAGGATGTCTCAGGCGAGACGCCAATTTTTAAATGAATTTGGCGGCGATGAGCTCTTCCAGGATGTCTCTATCGAAACGCTTGTTTTCGTTGAAAACGATGTCGCGAATATTTCATTTGTGTGAGGATGTCTCAGGCGAAATCGCTGTTTTGGGGGAGCCGCTGACGAACGATCACCTGCGATCCGCCATCCATCTTAGTAACGTAGTTTTAGTGATGTTGCAGATTTAACCACAAGGTTCAGCTCGCTTCTCGTACCTCGGAGACGCTTCCCGTCATCCGCTAAAGAGATTTATGATATGTTGCAGATTCAGCCAAACGTCCAGCTCGCTTCTAGTACCTCGAAGCCGCTTCCCATCAACTTGCCCCGTACATGAATTCAGCCCTGGGCGCTCGCACCAACGTGAAATTCAATTTTCCGTTTCGAGAGCCCTCCGGGCCATCCTACGCCGCCCGAGCGGGCCCAGGATCGCTTCCCGGACGGTCCCGCGGAGCCCCGAAACAGCCCAAGACCGCTTTAAAACGGCCCATGAGCGCTCAAAGAGGGCCCAGGGTGGCTTCAAGACTGCCCAAGATGTCCCGAAGATATTTCAAGAGGCCCCAAGAGGACCCCCCCGACGCAAAAATCGCCCCAATCACTTAGGAAACCGTGCATGTTCAACACATTCTGACATTTGGTCTTCACGGCGCCCACGACGGCTCAAGGGACCCCACAGATCGCCCCAGGACGGCCCGCAAATTCCCCCAAAGGGCCCCAAGATGGCACACAAGCCTCCAGGACGGCCAAGACGCCCAAGACGGCCCAAAAGCCTCCAAGACTGTCAAGACGAGCCCCAGAGGGTCCCAAACGGCTCCCAAGAGAGCCCCGAGAAGGCCACAGGAGGCCCCCAAGAGGGCCAAAGAGGGCCCCAAGAAAGCCCCAGGAAGGCCCCATGCCCCTAAGACGGTTCAAGAGGGTCCCGGCACGGCCCAGAAAGGCCGCCAGACGGTTCAAAAGAGCTCCAAAAGGATCACCAAGAAGGTTTTGAGAGGCCGCATTCATTTATTTTTGCGAGGTTGCGTGGTAGATGTTTTCAATCACGTGCCAGAGTCTCAAGACTCTCCCAACCCTGAGCGCGCGATCTCGAGCCTTCACAGTATGAGCGGCGCAACCGGCTTTTAAGAAGGCCGCGAAACTGCCCACAAGGCCCCGCAAGATGGGTTCATATGGTGCTATGAGCCGTTCGAGCCCTATGAGCCTTATGATGCCTACGATCCACTTGCATCCTTTAAGAGGCCCCCGAGACGCCTCTCCTTAGAGCCCTCTGAGGCCTATGAGCTTTCGAGCCTATGAGCCCAATGAGCTCCTGAGCCCCTGAGCCCAATAAGCTCCTGAGCCGTACGAGCCCTTCGAGCCTTGCGAACCCTACGACCCCTGTCAGCGCTACGAGCCCTCAGAGCCCCGTCACCCTCATCTGCCCTATGACCCCATACGAGCACTCTGCAACACGTCCGCTCACGCTTATCAGCTCATGAGCCCTACAACCCTTCCCAACCCTGGCACCCCTGCGACCCCAATGAGCCCGACGAGCCCTATGAGCCCTACGGGCCCAGTGGGCCCTATGGGCCCTATGCCGCTCATGGGCCTCTTAAGGCCTACGAGCCCCGTGGGTCCTATCAGCCTCATGGGCCCCACGGCCCGCGCGACCCCTAAGGGCCTCAAGAGCCCTATGAGTCCTATGAGCCCCGCCGGCCCTATGAGCCTTATGACCCCGACTACCCGTTCTGAACCTTGTGAGCTTCCTGGGTCCAATTAGCACACTGGCCCTTATGAGCCCCATGAACCTCACAAGCCCTATGAACCGACCCGCTCTGTGGGACCAAAGGGCCAGTGGCTTCTGTGAGGCCACGGACCCTACGAGCCTCCACGCCCAATGAACTCATCAACCCGAGGAACCCTCTGAACTCAAGTACGGCTGCGGGCTCTCCGAACCTCATGATCCCCAGGAGCCGCGCTGCCCGAAGTACCCCTCTTCCACATTCGCGCTCCGAGCTTTTGGGCCCCAATGGCGGCGGAAAGCCCCTCAGACCTCTGATTCAGAGGAGCCCATGGGTCCTATCAGCCATGTGTGCCCCATGAGCCCCATTGCCAAAACAGACCGCGGTGCTGGCGACTACCAGTCGCGGCGCGCCTCGCTGGCACCATGCGATCAAGATTTTAAAAGAAAGGCGAAGCGAGCTGGTAGCATCTTGTACGTGTATGTATAAATAGTTGCAGATGCTTGAAACCTGGATGTCGCATATGATTTCTCCTCCGCCACCGAGGAGCTGCATGCGCCCAGAGCTCAAGTGTTGCGCTCTACGCGCCATCCTGCGATCTGGAGTAATAGCGGCGACTTGTGCGGTACGTCTGACGTTGCTTGCCTCATGAGTGCCGCTCACTCCGCACGATCGTTCTGTTCCACGGGCGTTGCGGAACCCGCTCGCCTAAGCGAGGCGTTGTTGTTTCCACTCCTGTCGAACATCTCTCTCTGTCCCCTTTAGCGGTGCGCGCTGTGACGTACTTCTACTTCGCGCAGTCGCAACGAGGATGCCCACAAGATTGTGGATGACATAGCCCCAATCCTAGTTGGGGGGGTCTCCCCGCCATGCTCCTTCCTGGTAGTGGCGAAACTGAACCGCGGACGCTGATCACTGGCAGCAGTTCGCCCCTCTTGCCACAGCCAGAACTACCGGCACAGGTGAGAAGTATTGAAGTGGGCTGGATGAGCACTCCCGCCAGGCCGCGCAGTGCTCGCTTGAGCCAAGCGGCGGACAGGGAGGATGGAGAGGGGGAGGGGAGGAGCAGGCGGGGGCAGGTTGTGGTACCCGCTGGGTTCAGGTAACCTCCAGATTATCCTCTCCGACAATCCGAAGACGAAGGACATCTTCGCCAGGTCTCGGGGGTTCCCGCGGGCGGAGATCATGCAGTACGCGGCGGAGTGCAAGGCCTGCGGGTGGGCCACCATCGGGGGATCGAGTCGTGGTTGGCACCCGAGGCAGGCAAGACCAGAGGGTCCTTCACGTTGTGGGGGGTGAGTGGAGTGCCAGCTGCTTGTGGCTAGCCTGCGATCTCCAGCCACGTGCTCGCACGTGGGTCTGCCTGGGCCCGTGTCTGGTCACGTGGGCCGTATTATGCTGTGCTCTTCTTCGTTGCGGGTGTGGTTGTTTTGAGGGGCACCCGTAGTTCCCGGAAGTGTTTCTCATGGCTCAGTGCAGTGCCGTTGTGCTCACTCGGGACTCCGGGCTCGTTCCAACGCTAGAGCTTGACCATTGCAGGGGCGAGTCGGAAAGATGATCCATCCAGGTGCAGTCTGCTATTTGCCATGACCTGGTTTTGTCAAGACACTTCATAGCAACAACCCTTCCTCAGCAAAGAACCTTCGCAGGCTCTGGGTAGTGTGCAGAGAAGACGCCCACGGCGTCCGAAGTCTTTCTCATCGAAAACGCCTAAGACGCCAACGGCGAATCACCGCCGTTCATTGCCTTTTGCAATCGCATCTATGTCCGAACGTTGGGCCATCCCCCAGCCGCTGTGAAGACCATGGGGAGAACACTTGGGGAGGAAGAGCGGAGGATGATCTCCTCGCACAGAATGGTCACTTGATGCTGCCCTTTGCAGGCCATAACGATGCAGCATGATTTGTTGGGAATCCCTGTCTGCTGGAGCGAGGAGGAGAATAAGGAGGAGTGGGAGGACTCTCGGGGCCCTCCTGGGACCTCCTGGGGATTCGGAGCCTACCCTTCCCAAACAAAGGGGGCGGTGGATCTAGTGGCCTTCGGCCCCCACCGTGCTTGGGTTGTGGGCCAGAGCCCTCTTAGATGCATCTTGGGGTTGCTTGGGGATGCCTCTTGGGGGCCGCCTGGAGGCATCTTGGGGCCTGGGGTTTCTTTGGGGCCCTTCTGGGGCCGTCTTGGGGCGCCTCTGGAGGGCCTCTTGGGGCATCGGCGGTCTCGGGGGCCATTTTGGCATAAGAGGTCTCGTGGGGCCAGTTCGGGTTCCCCCGCAAGTGATCGAAGATTTAGTGAGCTTTGGAAGCGGCAGTGCGATGTTGTTGACCAGCTCCGTCCGTATTTGTTTTCCGGTTCTGTCACTACTGTTTTCCGCTTCCGTCGTTGTGTTTTGATGTGTTCCGATTATGTTTATCTTTCCGATCCCGGCGCCGTTGTGTTGTTTGTTTCGGCGGTCCGTTTTTTTTTTGTTGTTCCCACCCACATCTTCTAGAACGAAGGCAGATTTTTGGAAACGGTACAAAAACGGCTTTGCCGTTTGCAAGGCCTGGGATCCAAGACATTGCTCAGTTTAAGGTGTTTGGGTAGTTTGCGGTGGCAGAACAATTCCAAGCGAGCCGCCCGAAGAACGCGGGGCCGCGTCTGGAATTTAGGGGGTCGCGGGCTCCTGTAGTTGAAAATTGCTACTGTACCCAAACGCAGGGAACTCGAAAGGACCTGAGGAAGCTCCACTCATCAGGTAGGTCTAGGATGAGGATAAATCGCTCTAGAGCGTTCCCGAACGGTCTCAGAGCGCCCCGGATCGCTCTGAGATAGGAGCGGCGCCCGATACATCCTCTGGACTTGCTGGTTCTCATTTATCCTCATCCTGCCTTCGTGTTAATTCAGTACCCTCACGACACGGCGACGGAGGACGAAATTCGGCGAGGTGTCAAGCGGTGTCACTCCGAGACAGTCTTCTTTCTTGCCACTAATTTGTTTGCACAGATTGGCCACGACGCGATCATGTGTGCGTGCATTCACGTATGTGTATACAGAGGTACATATACGTATCCTTTTCGCGAGTGTCGAGAATCGGCAGCTTTTATGACCTCTTTTCCACGCTCCTGCCTGCATAAGCTAAGTCTGCAATCGGGGTGTGCTACATCACAGCTTGATGAGTAGCAAGGGTAGCCAGCTCGCCAAAGCGCTGATGCACGACACGGGGCATTCAGCCAGCAAGCGAGCGATCGGCCTCAGCTGAGCGAGCAACACAAGTAATGAACACATGCGGATGGCCAGGTAAGTGGAAGACAAAGCTAACCAATCGAAGAAATAATAGGGGAGGTGGGTGTAGGACGCATCCGTCGCGGCCCTCGCTCGGGGCCGCGCGCTGACACTTCTTGTGCCTCCTTCTCCTCCTCCTCCTCCTCCTCCTCCTCCCCGTCCTCCTCCCCTTTCTTTGCGTATTCTCAGCATTTACTTCTTCTCTCTCTGACCCCCCCCCCTCTCCCCTGTCACCTTCCAAACAGTGCATGATGTTCGCTTGTTTCCTCCCCTTCTTCCTGCTCCCGATGACTCTTCAGATCCGTCTCCTTCTCCTGGTCGTCCTCTACCTGATCCTGCTTCTCCTCCCATCATCCGAGAAGCCCGTCGCTGCGGGTGAAGGCTTGCGTAGCGATGGCCGTAGTGGCCGCGGACATTAACCAGCGCTGGTCGCAGGAGTGCTCTCCAGAAGACCGCAACTTCTTAGGCGAGGCGATAGAGAAGGCGCCGCGGGCGACGACGAGGACGGCGGGTGGCGATGTGCATACCCAAGGATCGGTGTCGAGACTCGCGTGAGTGGACACATTCGGTCACCCTGTAGAGGAGGGTGGGCGACAGGATGGCATTCGTCTTTGCGACTGTATGTTTGTGCCAGATCCCTCTTCGAAGGCCCCCCAAGGGGATTCCGATTTTGGATTCCGATCATGTAGCGATGCGGCGTGCTGAACTTACGGCGAAAGCAAGGACGAGGTCGAGGAGGGGGAGGAGGACACGGACAGAGCTGTGAGAATTGTGGAAGGGATGGCGGTGGTGGAGGAGGGCTCTGCCCTGGGTGACGTTGTCGTCGTCTTCCAAGAAGAGAAGCGTGTGTGTTCACTACGCCGTGCTGCTCTTCTGGGGACGCGGCATGTGCAACTTGTCCTTTCGGCGTGCTGCACCTTAGCGGAGCCTGGGGAGCCCTTGGGCCCTTGGTCTCCCCCGAAGCCTGCCCCTCTACAGAGGGGCCCCGAGCCTCCGGGCCCAGAGGTTCTCCGAAGTGCCGCCCCCGCTTCGCCAACTTGGCAGGGCTCAGCTCGACTCTTCCGATTCGACCCGATGCGAGTTCGATGGCTTCCGGGTCGATTCGATGCGACCTCGGAATCCGATGTGATTTCCAGTTTCTCAATTGAGGCCTGCCAGCTTGCCGATTTCCGCCGATTCGATGTCTCCCGACTCGGCTGCAGATTTCCGCAGATCCGATTAATTTCGACCGCCGATCCGTTTTATGTATCCGATTCTGGTGTTTTCCTGCCTCCTTCGCACCACGCCCCTCGCTCAGCTGTCTCTCTGCCTTGTGGCAGATGTGCCTGGAGGACAGATCCGACATGGAGACAGCGAAGGCAGGTTTCTTATGCTGTGGGTGCGCTTCGGAGTGGCCCTGTGCGCGGGCGGATGGAACGCGACGCGGAGCACCGTTCTTTGTCGCGTAAGGCTCGTTTCTTCCGAAGAAGCAACATCACAGACACATAATTTGTCGGAGCTCCGCACGGATCTCTTGGTTCGGCGCTTGGACCCGTGGCAGACTCCGCGCGCCAGGGAGGGGGCGCAGCGCCGATCCAAGAAATCCGCGCTGGCCTTCGAAATGACTTGTTGATGATTTTTGATGTTCCTCTATTCTGTTTGCCGCCCAACTAAGGCCAGTCGGCGCCACCCCTGCCCCAATGTGCGAATACTGTGTGTGCATCGCTCCCCCGGGGGTGACGCGCTCACCGAGGCATCTCATAGTACGAGCTCCGTGGCGGGCGCATTCTGGCTATACCGCTCGGGAAACGATATGCTACAAGATGCTTGTCCCACATGTTCGGTTCGGACGGTCGCCTCCGAGGAGGACGCACAGCACGAGTGTGTCCGTCTGCGCTCCATGCTTCCGGCCGGCATCCAGCAGGGAGGGCGCGACGTGGCCCGCAGAGAACTGGACTGTTCCGTGCAGACGTGCCGGCGTCTTGAGGCCCTCGGCGACGTGCAGCTGCCCGGAGGCGGTCTCTGGAGCCCCCTCGAATTTTTCCAAGGCCATGCGGGCCAGGTGCTGAGCGTCGCCTGCCTTCTTCTCCTCGTTTCTCCTTCCCCCCTCCTCCCCCAGTCCTTCTCCTCCTCATACATGATTTCTCCCTGTCGCGCCCCGATGCCACTTTCTAGGGCCGGCTGGGCGTTTCGCCCGAGACTTCCTCATCAGTTTTGACCCTGAAGCTTAAAACAGTGCAACAGCTTCACAGATGGAGGGCGGGCCGTTTTCAAAATGTGGCTCTCGCTTTAGCGCCGCGCACATTCGTCAAAAAAACATGCAAGAGCTTCACTGATTGAGGGCGGCTCCTTTTTGAAATGCAGCTCTCGCTTTAGCGCCGCGCACATTCGTTCTAAGAAGTTGCAAGAGTTTCACGGATTGAAGGCGGGTCGTTTTCAAAATGTGGCTCTCGCCTTGGCGCCGCGCACACTCGTTTGAAACAGTTGCAAGAGTTTCACGGAGTCAGGGCGGGCCGTTTTCACAATGTGGTTTTCGCCTTGGCGCCGCGCACACCCGTTGAACAGTTGCAAGAGTTTGACGGATTGAGAGCTGGCCGTTTTCAAAATGTGGTTCTCGCTTTAGCGCCGCATGCGCTCGCTTCAAAAATCCCTAAGAATTTAGCGGATTCAGGGCGGGTCGTTTTCAAAATGTGGCTCTCATTTTAGCGCCGCGCACACTCGTTTTATGATTTGCAAGAGTTTCACTGATTGAGGGCAGTCTCTTTTTCAAAATGTGGCTCTCGCGTTAGCGCCGCGCACATTCGATTTCAAAGTTGCAAGAGTTCCACGGATTCCCATGGTCAACGTACCAGACATGATGCTTTGGAAGGATTCATGATTTATGAGGGTGCAACACTTACGTGTATTAGCGGTGTCGAAGTCCCAGGACTGGCGTTCTGGCACGACTCAGGATCGCCAAGACGCAACAGTCAGGCTGATCCGTGGCGTTGGAATCTGGAGAACAACGTTTTGGTATGTTCGAGGATCTTCAAACGGTTGTCTTTCAACGAGGCTGTTCCCTCAGTGGACATGAGCGGCCGTTATGGGCCTTTGCTGAGGGAGCTTGGAGGGATTGTTTTTTCCAACATCGTTGATGACTGTTGGGTTTTGCACTGGTCCTCCTCCTCCTCCTCCTCCTCCTCCTCTTCCTCCTCCTCCTCCTCCTCCTCCTCCTCCTCCTCCTCCTCCTCCTTTTCTCTCTCCTCCCTGACCCTCGTTTTTGAGTTGAGCAGATTTCAATCTACATAGGTTGCACCGCCTGTACGGCAAAAAGGCACGCAGATAACGGCCGATGGAGGCGCAGAGCGCAACAACTTGAGCATGGCTAGCGTAGCAGGATGTTAAATTGGGCGCCAGAGAGACGAGAAAGCAAGCAAGCCCGAGAGGGCAAAGAGTATACCCTCGCTAAGCTGTACTGGAAATTGGGAAAAGATGCGAATCGCGAATACCGAATCCAGAAGCGATTAATCACAATGACGAGACCGAACGGGACAGGGAACGAAATACACTTGATAAAGGCTGTCAGCTAAGCTTTGTAGTACATGATTTCCTGTGTCCCCTGCAAACTGGGCAGCTGTGAACAGTGGGTAGAAAAATCAAGGTGGCATGTGGTGGTGATGGGAAGGCAAAGTTTGCACTGGCTGGCCTGGTTGTGCAGGCGGCGATGTGATAAAAGAGGACATGCAGCTGTCGTCCGACCCACACCCCGATCCCCGCTCCAATCTCAGAGTCCCATGCTCCACCGGCAAGATGCGATGCAGCTGGTTAATAGGCGGCGCTGGGCTGGACTCCTCAGTGTTCAAATTGGCCTGGCGTCGTCGCTGGAGTGTGTGAGTATTGAAAGTGTGGAAGGCGCTATGCAGCAATGCGTTTGCACATGTTGCAGGCTGGCGCAGACAGTGTTGGCTGGTCACTTGAAGCAAAAGGACTTGAAGGAGAGAAAACACGCTCGGCACTGCAATTTCTGTGATGGCGCTAAATCGTAGTAATTTGCAAGCTGCTGCAGGCTGGCACGGTCAGAACAGGATGGCTTAATAATTTCTTTAAGCTGTCAGCGAGTAAAGATTATCTGCTCCGCAGATGTTGGGTTGAATGGGCAAGTATTATGGGCTAAGGTTGTACCGCTGAAGTGGAGGCTCCCAGTGCCGGCGTTGGTCGGTGTTATTCGGCAGTCCACCGTAGGGGGCCTGGCGGCCATCCCGCTGCTGAGGGCCAGAATCGCCGCCGTAGCAATCCGTATCCTTTTCCTCCACCACCTTCCCTTTCCACCATTGTGAGGCTGGCGCGATACCATGGCTGGCGTGTAGCCTTAAAGGTAGAGTGGGGCCCAAAAACTGGCAAGTATGCAGAAGGCTGTATGATATAACAAGAATGCGGCGGGCATGAAAAGGGCAAGATGTGATTGGCAGTGCGTGTGAGTGGGGCAGCTTGTGGAACATGTCTCGTTGGCCTATGTAAACCTCCCGTTAGCCAGCAGTAGGCCCACTCTTCGGCTCCTCGGTGGGGACGCACCTTCACCGTCTTGTGGTCCAGAAGAGGGGTACGGAAGTGGAGGGTATGTACATTGCTCGAAGGGCATTGCAGTAAGCATGGAACAAGCTGAATCTAGCACTAGAGAGCACCCTAGGTAGCCTGGGGCAGCTTGAAAGCTTGTACATAATGTGTCATTCCTGGCTTTTGAAGTAAGCACAGTAGTGCCGGCAGCCTAAGCTTGATGGGAACAACAGTAGGTGAATTATTAAAACGGACAGAGTGGTTGTAAGTGGCGACGTTGTGGGTGCAGAGTAGCGGGCGATGCACCCTGACCTACTCTAATGTATGCCCGCTTAGCGGCGGTGGTGCAGCGTGCGAAGCACCCTGGTTTGCACTTAGTGGCACTGCATTGTGCCCCCACAGCCCCACCCATAACCCCATCTCCCATCCGCCACCAGGAGGAAACAAGGTAGGATTTGAACATGTCGCTTGTATTGAGAGGGCTACAGTGTACACAGCCACAGGTTGCATGGGGTCCCCAGGATATGAGGAGGGCTCATGTACAGAAGACCGGGATAGGGGGTTGTGCGGTTTAGGTTTGATAGCGTACAAAGAGTGCGAACAAGGGTAATCGGTGTAGACACTGCTGGCGATATAGGTACATCGCCCTTCCTCAACCTACAATCCCAAAGACTCCACCCCCTCCCAATGACATACCATACGCTATGTACTTCAGTATGTGTGTAATGGGTCGGCTCTCAATAATTGACAATTTAAGTATTCATTCCAAGTTTCACTGAAGCACGCGCCCCTCCCCGAGGTACGGCCCGAAGGGCTCCCTTGCAAGGTATGCGACTGTGTAGATCTGGCCATGGATGTCGTGATTAGTCAGTGCTGCCAGTCTTGTTGGTGCTCCACGATGCTGTAGGATACTTTGGATGCAGTCGGTAGTGCCTTTGCTGGTACTTGCCGTAGGTTGGTTTGGGTTTGTT